TTGCTCTTCAGTCCTCCAAGATAAGTGAACCTCATGTTATTTAAATAGTTTGGGTTTTGCTGCTCTAGAGCTATTCATGAGCTTCTCGGGGAAGAAAGGAAGATATTCCCAATTATCATCTCCAGCCAGGAAAACATCCATGAACTGGAAGATGGATCTTTTTCTTCTTCTTCATTTTTCTCCTTAAGAGGCTGCAGTTGACTAATGATGCGCTGAGGTCTATGTCAGAAAGCAAAACCTGGTTAAATGTTTTCTGCTCTGCTAACATCTGTGGGTTTGCTTGCAAGGGTGCTGTAAAAAAGTAGAATGAGAAAAGCTGGGAAGAGGCAGGAGTAAGCATTGGGCAGCATTTCCAAGAGACACACAGTAATTATTTTGGAAAAATCCACAGGCCACTGGCGATAATCACATTGGCCCTGTTTACACAGGTTGGCACCTTACAACGTTTGGTCGATTTTAGTTCTTTACACCAGGACACGCTGGACAAAATGGATGGTCCTGATCCACAATTGCTGGAAGACTGTAAGATGATTTTTTTAAAGTGGTGTATGGAGTTTGCTTTGCTACGACCAGGATGACATGATGGAGACAAATGAATTCTGCATTAATTCTGCAAAGATGTAAATTAATTCCCCACCATTGTAGCTTATCAAGCTGGAAGCTGTCATCTGATGTTTTAACAGCTGTAAGCAGGAAACAGAAAAGTGGCCTTTACTCCACATGGGAGGAAAGATCACTGCCTGCAGCTTAGCGTCCGGATGAAACACCACAATCGCAACCCTGCGAAGTTGAGCATCTCAGCTCAGGATGCGAATCTTCCCTTGTCTCCTGAAAATGAGGAATCATACCCGAGTGTCCTTTTCTGTGAGCACTGCGTAGACTCTTCTGCTCTTCTTGGTTCTCTCCTTGCACTTGAATGGATCGTATTTTTCCTGAACCAAGGCGTGCCAGAATTGGCCCTTGAGATTTGATCGTGTCAAGTTTTGGACGGGTGGCTTGCCTCTTTTTGAACAATCATCCACTCCTCTGCTTCTGTGGGTCTGTGGCTTGTTTCTCAAGCAAGTGGGCATTTAAGTCCTGTGCCAATTTCTGTTCTCATTGGGAAGACCTCTTTCTCTCGCTCCCACCTGAATGTGGGGAACCCTGAGGCGCTTTGAAATTTCTCACCGAGTTGACCACAGCCTGAATCTCAAGAAGGAGGAGGGGTTTGGGGGTGCAACCCCCTAATGCCCGTACGGTGGGTGGAGTGTGATTACTTGGAGAAAAGCACTTTGCACGTGCTCCAAAGCACAATCCCCTCTACCTATAGAAAACACGCTGCAGGGGCGATCGCTCTTTGATATTGTGCTCCATGGGCCCTCCCTTGTGGATCCCATAATAAAGCATGGGCAACGGTCGGGTCTCCCTTTTCTGCCAGCCGTACCCAGACACACGTTCCAGATCTCCGTTCCAAAAGGTTCCTGTTGTTACGGTTTGTTTTGTAAAGAATGCCAAGGCCCTGAAGCCAGAAACAGTCTATAAAACTTTGTGTTAGCTAATTACCCAGCCCACATGTAGTAAGAGCTCAGCTCCAGTTACCGGTCACCGCGAGCGAGCCTGCGCCCAAAGCACCCTCGGGCAGAGCAGAGAAAGTTTGGCTATATTTGTGCCTTTTCATGATGGTGGGGGGGGGGAACAGGGCTGCCGAATCAGGTTTTGGTTCCTGGAAGGGTGTGTGTGGGTGTGTGTGTGTGTGTGTTTTGGGGGGGAAGCCATTCCAAAGTGTCAGCCCGTCCACCTCTGTGGCTTGATGCCAATGCCCCGTTTTGATCATGAGAGGAGAGGAGAGGCCGGGAGGGGGGGGTTCCGGAGTCTCGGAGCAGCCACAGAGAAGGCCCTTCTCCTGTGTCCCCATTTAGGGTTCAAAGATATATGGCACCTTAACGCTTGCCATATATCTGGTTTCTGTAGCCGTCCAGCTTCACCATGGATCATCCTCTTCTTTGGATTTGTCTCATTCCTCGTTGAAGGAGAAAGTCAGGGTAAAAACTCTTTTTAATAAATAAATAAATACACATCTTTTCTCTTTGTGGTCAAAGAGAGACCCAGGTGCACAAGATATAGCCAGAATAGTGAGCTAGCAGCTGACAGAACTTGGAAAAGTTACTTTGATCAAGGACATCTTCCAGGGCCTCCTGACCAGCACGGCCACTAGCCACGGCCCACAATTTTTTTTCCTAAGGTGGTTTTGCCTTGTTTTGTGTGCATTCAAGGACAGATGGCAAATCCACAGACTCCTTCCCCATCCTGTGCCAAGTTTGGGAAAGGTTTCAGATCGGTCCAAAGAACTGGATGTTCTTTCCTGGATCGGTTGAGGCGAAACGGGTGCTCTCTTAAACATGTCGCTCGTTTGTTTGACATAAGCGACCTTTTGAGACACGGCGCTTCAGATAACATCCAAAAGAGGCTAAACCGTTCATGCCGTAGCTTTGTTGCTTTTATCATCTGTGTTCCGGGGAGGAGAATGAAAATTGGAAGCTCAGGGCCCCAATCCCCATGCTGCTTGGAGCTGCTAGTTTAGAAGGAACCACTAGTGCACAAGCAGAATCTAAAAGAGTGCCCTCGTAGAAAATTGAACCTGCAGGTGAAGAGGACATGAGGGTCTCGAGGGGGAGGATGGATATTCCTGCTTCCCGTTGGACAACCCTAATCCCCTTGCAGTCTTGATTAGGGTCATCGCATTTCAGTGGTTGGCTCTTGGCCACAAGCCTTCTCTTCCTTTGCATTGCTTCGATAACTCCTTGTTGTGATCGCTCACTCGTATGTCACTTCCAATTTACGGTGACCCCCTAACGGTGTTTCTGAGATATGTGAGAGGTTCAAGGAACAGTTTAGGTCTGCCACCCTTCAGTACGTTCCCATGGTTGAGCAGACATTTGAACTACACAGCACAACACTAATATCATAACCGTGGGCTGTCAAGTCAGTTCTGACTCATGGCAACCCTTTCCGGGGTTTCCTAGCCAAACGCTCAGAAGAGGTTTTCGGTTCTCTTCTTCTAGACGCATTTTGGGATGGTGCAGCTGGCCCAAGGCCACCCAGGCTGGCTCTTCTCCCAGAAGGCCCAGTCAAGAATTGGACTCCCAGCCTCTGACTCTGCAGCCAGAAAGCTAAACCCCTGAACTATCCAGCCAGCTCATAATCTTAGAACAGCAGAGCTGAAAGGGACCCCGTGGGATCATCCAGTCCAGCCCCTCTCAAGGAAGCCCAGTGGGGGACTCGAACTCCCAACCTCGAGAATTGAGGCGTGAGCTATCCAGCCAGTGGTTTAGATGCACTACAATACAGAGATAGCAAGTCGTTATCTAACTCATGGGTCCCCAACCTTTTTTCACCCCACAGATCAGCTGTGGGGATGGCGGGGCACCCCCCACGCTCATGCGCAAACACCAGGGCAGTGCTTGTGCACATGAGCAAACGGCGGCTCTCGCATGCACATGCTGGAGAGTGTGCCCATGCGCAAATCAGCTGTGCAGGGGGTGAGTGTGTGGGTGTGGGAGGTCTGTCTCCATGGCCCAGTCCAGCTCAGGCCATGGACCGGCACCAGGCCACGGACCGGGGGTTGGGGACCTCTGATCTAAATGGTTGTTGTAATTGTTTCGGGCTTTCTGGCCGTGTTCTTGAGGATTTTCTTCCTAACATTTTGCCAGTCTCTGTGTGCACACAAAAGACCAGCTAATGACACCCATCAATCACAGTGACAGATTGTCTCTCCCCCTTATCACAACAATACACCCACAACAAAAAACACGTTGATCACCATAATCACCCAGTCTCCTGAAAAAGACAAAAAGCTGACGCCACACACATAAATAATCAACTATCCCACAAACTGCACAAGAGCACAGACAGAGTTCTGACTCCTGTTCTCTGAAGAGGCCGGCCACGGAGACTGGCGAAACGTTAGGAAGAACAACCTCTGGAACACGGCCAGATAGCCCGAAAAACCTGCTACAACAACCATCAGATCCCAGCCATGAAAGCCTTTGTGAATATATTGTCTAAACTTTAATACTGAAAAATTTATTGGTACGGATAACATTGAAAACTTCAACAACCAAACCGAAACTGTAGGAGAAAGGGGCTATAGCCCTGATACCTCGTAAAATATATTGTGGGAGGAAGACGGTGGAGACTTTGCTGTGCTTGGTTTACATTCAGATGGAATCTGCTTCCCGTATTTCGGGATTGCCCCGCATGGCTCTGTTGGCTCGTGATTCGCCAGTCCAGAGGGTAGTGGCATCACAACGGAATGCTACAGCTCTTTGGCTCTCTCATCGGGAGTGCAGTGTTGGAGGGGAGCCGCGGCGTCCAGTACGGCCACCCTGAATGGCTTGGTCCAGGTTGGGGAGTCAACTGGTCGTGCAGACCCGTCCTATTGGGCCACCCCTGTTGACTGGCCACGGGGATCCTGAAGTGAGCGCATCATTATTTTGCTGAAAACAAGGGTTGTGTGCTCCCATTTTTCAGTCTTGGCACATGACTCATTGAGACCCCTGACTCCCAACCTTGGGTCCCCCAGATGTTCTTGGACCGCAACTCCCAGAAAACCTGGCCAGCGCACCTAGTGATGAAGGCTTCTGGGAGTTCTAGTCCAAGAACATCTGGGGGCCCAAGTTTAGGAACCACTGCTTTAGGCCATGAAATCAAAGGTTGACAAGATAGAACAGAAGTGAAAATCAGCTGTGAAGGATGTGCTTAGCAGAGCTCGGGGTGTTCCTGGTTTTTTCGGGGGGGGGGCATTTCCCAACATCCCTCATCCAGTCTGTGTAGCAGCCATGCCAGCTGGAGGATTCTGAGGATCAGTCACAGAAGAGCTCTGGGTATAAAATTTGCAACCCTCCTGGAGAGAGACGGTCCTTGCATTCTCCAGGTTTCCAGCCCAGCCACGAGGCCTGAGATCCTGCGCAGACGGCTCGCGGCTGACCCCTTTTTTTGCCCTGTGTGTCCTCTCACTGCAGAATACTCTGGAGCAGTGCAGCGTTTGCGCCAAGCCCATCATGGAGCGGATCCTGCGAGCCACCGGCAAGGCCTACCACCCCCACTGCTTCACCTGCGTGATCTGCCAGCGGAGCCTGGATGGCATCCCCTTCACCGTGGACGCCGGCGGCAACATCCACTGCATCGAGGATTTCCACAGGTGGGGCGAGGAGGGGGGTGTCTCTTGACCCTTGAGCTATCTTGGATGGGAGAAATGGGGGGGGGAGGGAGACGCAAATAGCAAGGCCACCCACATGTGTATATGTTTGTGTGCGTGTCAAGGGAAGGGAAGAGTAACCAGCAAATGGAAAGAAGCACAACAGTGCGGTACAGGCATGGATACAGTCATGCTGGAGATGGCATGAACAAGTGTTGTAATTTATTTCTGCTGTACATAGATGTGGGGGGCTCTTTCTTCTCTCACTTTCTCTTCCCTGCAGCCTTCTTGGCCTTTCAAAATGGGTTTAAATATTGGCTGTTTCACGACAACGTTTAAAGAGTGTTTTAAACCTGCTTTTAAAAAAGAAACCAAGATTTTAAATCTATTTTTTTTCTTGTCCTATCAACCTGTCGGTTGTAAAAAGCCTTTGGGGTCCCAAGGTGGGCACAAAAGAGACTTGCAGACACTTTCCTCTCCTGGTGCCCCACGGATCCCCCTTCCACTGCCTCCCCACCCCATAAGTGCAGAGGGAGGATCGGAAGGAGGATTACCACTGACGGGCTTCCAGCATCCATGGGGCAGCAGCAGAGGAAAGTGGATCCTATCACTTGCTTCAGTGGGTCAAGGTGCAGGCGAGACCTACAGAGGCCCCTCTCCGTTTGAGGTCCTGCTCGGCCGATGGGAATTTTTAACCACAAGCCTTCTCTTGCTTTTCTAGGAAATTTGCGCCCCGTTGCTCGGTTTGCAAGGAGCCCATCATGCCTGCCCAGGGCCAGGAGGAGACTGTCCGGATCGTGGCCTTAGACCGTGACTTCCACGTCCAGTGCTACCGGTGTGAGGTCAGTATCTTAGCTTGAACCCATTCTCCAACGGCCAGAGGAACCCTCGGCCACCAGGGCTGTTGTGTCCTCTCGAACCCACACCAGGGTGGAAGTTGCCCTTTTTTGCTCAGGTGGCTTCCAGATAAGTATAAACAGCCAAAATCAAGGCACTGTGTTTTTTTTCCTCCGTAACATCCGCATCTCGTATTTGTGCATTTTTCTGCCTCTTGCACGCCTTCGGTCAGAAGGTATCAGAGTTAGTTAGACAGTCCAAAAAAGAACTTAAATCTACCACAGGACCTCAAACCAATGAAATTAATCTTAATTTTAATGGTGAAACTTCACTGAAGATTACAAGGCCATAGAATTATTTATTTCATTTTATTTTATTTATCTTCTGTGCTGCCCATCCGGCTGCCAAAGCCCCTCTGGGCAGCTTACATATTAAACAACAAGAACAATTCAACTCAATAAACGTAATAGTCACAAAATCAAAATTAAACACAACCATCCAACCAATATAAGTAATAATAATTAAAATAATATAAAATACTATAAAAGCAAGACAGCGGGACTGATAGTATAAGTCTTAAGACCAGTCACTGTATTAAGGTGTTATAAGGTCCGGGAAGGCCTGTTGAAAAACTATGTTTTTAACAATTGCTTAAAAATCATTGGAAGCTCATGGACTGAAAGGGTGTTCACCGCCAAATATGGGTGGCACCGGGGGGGCTGCCCATGCTTGGAATAGAATAGGAGGAGTGTTAATTTAATCTCATTTTAGATTCAACATTGTGATTCTTTGTTTCCAACGTTATGTGCCGGTGGCTGCAACCCTGCAGTACATCACAACTAGAGGAAGTCCATTTGCGTCAATGGAATTTACCGAGAAGTTGACTGGCTAAGTTCAGAGTGATCCATGAGGCCTCCCCTGGTTGCATCGTACTGCTGGATTTCAGACGATGACTAAACCAATTCTCAGAAAAATCCCTCTTCCTTCCGGTTGATGTTTTCGAAAGAGGGGATCTGAAAGCAGAGTGGATGCTGTCTAAAGATGGAACTCATGCTCACGATGCAGTCCAAGAACAGGGAGTGTTAACCGTACCAACACTAATGTGGGTCACATTAACATTATACCTACAGACCCAGTCTAGTGCCAGCATGGGGCAAGGAGACTAGACTCCAGATTTCCAAAAACCCAATCTATCCGGATACACTGGGCTGCATATCTCCCAGAGGGCTGGTCTACTTTCTGTAGCGAAACTAGGCCCCCATTGAGCACTCCAAAATGGACATCCCAGGATGTGCGCTATAGCAAACCAGTGCTAAGTGCAGGGCATTACTGAATGTTTGTTTGTATTAATGTCTCTCTTGTACAGCTATGAGCAGGGTGTCCTAAAGGGCAGTGGTTCCCAACCTTGGGTCTCCAGAGGTCCTTGGACTAGAACTTCCAGAAAGCCTGGCCAGCACAGCTTGTGGCAAAGGCTTCTGGGAGTTTTAGTCCTTCAGGGGAACCAAGGTTGGGAATCACTGCTGTAGGGCATTAGAAGTTATTGGGTCCAACCCACTGGCTCCATGGGAGTCAGGAGGCAGCTGCCATATGCTAGACCGATGGCCACCTGTCCTGCTTAAACACCTGCAACAAAGGAGAATCCCTCTTCTCCCCAGGCTGTGTGTCCCAATGGTTACAAAGCCCTCTCTTGTTAGGAAGCACTTCCTAATATTTAATCAGAATCCACTCCCTTGTCATTTGCACCCATTGGTTTTAAACCTGTTTGCTGGGTCCACCTGGAACGCATCTTCTTCAAGACATGAGAAAAAATATTTATAGACAGCTCTATCCAATCTGCCCTTAAACATAGCCTATGGGTACAGGGGGGGAAATGGTCCTAAAAACACCAGTGTAAATCAAAGCCTTCTGGCCACGTGCTTTCCTGCAAATCTCTGGGCCCACAGAACGGCAGGATCGGACCATCTCCTGCTGGGTTGGTTTAGATTTCGGTCTGCTCTTGCATAAACAAAACTTGGTTCTGCTCCCTCGAGGCCCACCAAGGATGTTTTTTACAAGCAAGCTTTAAAGATTTGTGGAGCAAATAAAGTCAGATGTTGGAAATGTTTCTTGACCGCCTCCGCCCCTCCTGCGCCCTTCGACACAGGAGTGGATTAATGGAAGAATCCGGTGAATCATTAACTCGCTGGTCCAACATGGCGCTTGTCATGAGGTTCAAGCGGTGGATAAATACATTTGTTCTCATTCCGATACACGTTCAGGTTCGAATCCTGCTCGCCTACAGGACAATGAGACCCACTAGAGCAACGTATTTTTGTGTAATAGGAGATGGAGGCAGTGTGGAGGCCTGGGACACTGGAGGTGACACTGCAGGGCAGTTTATGCTTCTTTATTTCCCCGTCGTAAGAGAACTCCTTTACCCTTACTTCTCTTCTCTTGGTTTGTTGTCCTTTGTGTTCACGGGTCCCCAGGGACTTTTTGACCTTCTCCAGAGCCATGGTTTATTTTTTGTATGGCTTTGTTCCATGGACCGAGTTTAGCGCTATGTCCCTTCACGTTTCCCATGGATGTCCACAATGGGAGCTTTTTCGTCAGAAGCTTTCAATCCCCGTTTCAGGGAGAAAGCTAACTCTTGCTGTCGGCTGGAAGTAGACCCCAAGTGGAGTTTACTGACCTGCAATTCTCTTCTCTTAGTTTGTTGCCCTTTGTGTTCACGGGTCCCCAGGGACTTTTTGACCTTCTCCAGAGCCATGGTTTATTTTTTGTATGGCTTTGTTCCATGGACCGAGTTTAGCGCTATGTCCCTTCACGTTTCCCATGGATGTCCACAATGGGAGCTTTTTCGTCAGAAGCTTTCAATCCCCGTTTCAGGGAGAAAGCTAACTCTTGCTGTCGGCTGGAAGTAGACCCCAAGTGGTTAGCGCTATACGGCCTCCAGCCCAGGAGGCATCAGTCCGGACTCCGAACACAATCAGTCCTGCATTATTTTACCGCTGTACGATACCAATGAGTATGGAACAATGTGGCACCAAATGTATCAAATCCTGTATGGGGAAAAATGTACTGTATAAAAGAAATGCTCGAAGGTGGGTTAAGGTGAATATCTACTTTTTCCAGGCAAATAGGTTATTTTCAACAATTTCCTGGAATGCTAAACCTGGATGTCCTGGGCGCCAAAGCAGGTAGCTCAGCGCCTGTCTGCCCCTTCCTAGCCTATAAGAGTAGAAGAAGTTTGCGGCTGGGTAGGAAACCTCAGGGGGATTTGTTTGTCCCATAGACCCTAAGTTTCCCTATCGATGATCTGTAGATATTCTTCACATTTCCCTAATGCAATCAGAGTCTTCAAACAAGTAACCCTAACATCATCCCTAGGAGGTCCGCCAGTGGTCTTAGCTTGACCTTACACCTAGGAGATCCCAGGGTGCAAGAGATGCTCACCTGTCACGCTGCAGTCAATCCACACATTTTTCATATCCCGTCACAGGCTGTTGGGTGTGATGTTCACAAGGTGCTCAGCCTTTCTCCGGCTCACCAGGCTTAACTCCCGTTCTGCCTTTCTCCGGCTCACCAGGCTTAACTCCTATTCTAATGGGATTTTTTTTTTGCAGGATTGCGGAGGGCTCGTTTTTTTTTGTTTGTTTGTTTGTTTTTGCAGGATTGCGGAGGGCTGCTGTCCGAGGGAGACAACCAGGGCTGCTACCCACTCGACGGCCATATCCTCTGCAAGACGTGCAACTCGGCCAGGATCCAAGCCCTGACGGCAAAGGCTAGCACTGACCTCTGAAGGCGGTCAGAGTTGCTGGAAAGGCCCCGGGCCACGAGGAAGCGCTCCTCTGGGGCTTAAGCCCACATCACTGTGATCTGCAATCTATACTTTTGCTGCCTTAATCTGACCGAACCCCTGTTTCTTTTCCCCAAAGAACTCTTGAGAAGTGTAGTTCTGGGAGCGGTGCCGGTGCACCTGTGGAACTACAATTCCCAGGATGTTTTTTCAGCTGTTAAAAAAGGTTATAAAACCGAAGGGTGTTTGCGGCGTAGAGAAAGTTTTAGGGGCCGAAATGGGTTGGCCATCTCCTGGCTTTAAAGAGTCCAGAGCCACATTTTCCAGCCTGGTGTTCTCCCAGTGAGATTACAGTTCCCATCATCTTCAGGCACCTGCAGGCTTGGAGAGTGTGAGATCGGTGGCCCTTCTCAGCCAGATTGGAGAAGGCTGCTGAGAGGATTTTCTCTGCCACATCCCTCCTTGGTCCCAAACCCCTTCGAGTTTAAACCGCCTCTCAAACCGACACCTAATATTCTCCAGTACGAATTCTTGCCAGCCACAAGGTCTCCGGGGTTTGCTATTTTTATTTTTCACAAGCCATCAAGTCCTGAGCTTGTTTGCACATTAATATACAGAAATACACTTTATAGCTCTATATCTATACTCACGTATGATAATGTATTGCAATATTTCACTAATGCCTTAAAGACAATCATGCAAAAAGGAAAAAGTAACTGAGGAATGGAAAAACTGATACAGGGATCTCCGGGTGCTTGCTAGGCCCCTGGCAACAGTCAAACCATCCCAATCCGTGGTGTGATCATTTATGATCACACACCAAGTCACACAGAACAGGCGAACAATACTAAAAGCCCACCTGAGCTTCTTCACTGGCAGCAATTCACGGCTGAAATTTACACCCGTGGAGGTAGGCCAGCAGGTGGGTCCGACAGGATTCCGGCCGATGTTTTCAGAGAGAGAGAATAATATAGGAGACACCCGCAGTGCACTACAGAGCAAACCAAATTTTGCACAAATCCATAATTTGGCCGTTGAGGTCTGCAGTTTTGCAACATTTAAAGTTCTGTTTCAGTATTTAGATTAGGTTCTGAGTGACGGACGGAAGGAAGAAAGGAAGAGAAAGAAATAGAAAGAAACACTAGTTATAAGTCTTGTACATCGACTTTTAAGTCATTACCTACCAAACTTACTCTGTGCAGGTGCTAACGCCCCTTTTCTCCAAACGATTCTGTTCCTGACTCGATGGAGGTCAAACTGCACTTTATGGCCAGGAGGAAAACAAACTGCAGCTGGACCGAACAGGGAACAGCTCTTCCTGCCTGTCTCGAGAACTTTCATGGATTCCCGAAGGGTTTCCAGGAAAGAAGACACGGTCACGTCTCTCCTGCCCAGAAAGTTGGGACCAGATCCAGCTGGGAGAGGTTGAGAAGGGGGTGCCTCAACCAGAGGACCAAAATGAGTGGGGAGCCTCCTTTAAAAGAGAGGCCCTGCCCAGCTCTGGATCAACCCCTGCCCCGCCCAGCTATGCAAGGAAGGGTCTTGAGTGTGCCTAGCCGGGCCAGCTTATACGGGTCGGGCCAGCCCAATTTAGGCACTGAAAAGGAACTCGGGAACATGTTGCCTACGGCTGGCATCCTTTGCAGGAAAGCTGGCACAGGAGATTTTGCAAGAACTTGAAAGCTGCCATCGTGCAGCCCAGCACTGTCGTCCCTTCCTTTGGCCCACACAGGCTCTGTCACTAGCAGCCATTTAACCCTCCCGTCTGGGGTCCTGAGACTAGTTTGGTCAAGGAAGTAAACTTTTCCATTTTGGGAGCGCTCCGTCTTTTCCCCTGAACTACAGCAGAGAACTCTCAAGTATCTCACCAAATGAGAAAGGCCAGGATGCCTTAAGGCAAATCCATGGCACTTATTAAACCCATTGAAAGCTGTGGTGTTGGTACAACCTCAAGGCAGCGGGGAGAATTGAATGCAGCAGGAAAAGAGGAAGACCCCCCATAATAGATGGATGGACTCCATCAAGAAAGCCACAGCCTTGAATTAAGGACAGGATCTTTTCGAAGTCACTAATTCCTAGGGTCACCCTAAGGGTTGAATGCAGCAGGAAAAGAGGAAGACCTCATAAGAGTTGGATGGACTCCATCAAGGAAGCCACCGCCTTGAGTTTTCAAGACATGGGGGGGCTGTTAAGGACAGGATCTTTTCAAAGTCACTAATTCCTAGGGTCACCCTAAAGCAGAAATGGCTTCCTGGCACATATCGCCAGCCCAGGAAAAAAAACCCAACTGATTTGTCTTTATTCCTTAATAAGAATTGCCACATCTGAAGTGGAGTGCAATCTGAGGTTACCCTCATAGGGCTTAGTCACGGTAGTGGAGTATATTTATTACAAAGCTTTATTTAACCTATTGCAAAGGAAACACCTTTTTTTGCCAAAGAAACGTTGGGTGTGATCCTCTTAGGACTGCATAGGAACGGTTGCACAGTTTAAGGGGTGTGATTTCAGTCGGACATGCTCCAGAGGTGTTCCCAGTGCGTTACGTCCCGGGTTTTCAAAGAAATATGCATTATTTTTTAATTCTTGAAAAGTTTCTATACCCAGATTTCCCTATGCATTTATAGGATTTTTAATCTATATAGATATATATGCACATACATGCTTATTATGAAAAATATATCAGGTTGATTAAGCTTCTGTGGTTTCTGAGCATTTTTCCCCCTCCCTATACGCACAAGACAAAGAAGAAGCCCCGTGAAAATGGAACGGAAATGCTCTGAGTTATGGGTGGGCTCCTGGACCAGTGGATGCTTTCCAGTTTCTGACAAATACATAGCAGGCCACTGAGCTAGCCCTCTTTCTTCCCTTTTGCAAGTCCTGGGAAAGGCTTGTGAAACGGGCCACTCCGGTGTGATAGGATGCAGGGCATCCATCCTCAAGGTGAACCAGGCAGGAGGGGAGCTACAGCCCCAAAATTCAGGAAGACATGTACTGTACCTCTCCACTTTTGGCTCTGTATAAGAAATTAAGGGGACCGGGGGGGGGAGAGAGAATCCCTCTTTTGTTGCAGCAAGATTCGCCGGCATGAATCCCTCTCTCTCTTGAGAAATGTTATGAGAGAAACTACAGGCTTCTTAGAGGTTTCTCTCTCTCACACACACACACACACACACACACACACACACACACAGAGAGAGAGAGAGAGAGAGAGCACAAAATGGCATCTGGAACTGGACTCGAATCATCCACAGGGACCCA